ACTTTTCGATGGGTATTTCTTGTCGCTAACGCCCAAAATCGCATTATCAGGGTGGATTTGCTTCAGCATTTCGACACGCTCTTCGATGCTAAACGACATCATGTCATCGATAAGACAACGAAAGTTTCCATCGCTGGAATATCCAGCGATGTAGCATCCCTCAGTCCGGTGAACGCCACTGCCAACTCGTCGGCCGGAAAAGCGCTACTTGAGAGTTTCCCTGAAGTCTTCCGACCTTCATCGTCTCTGTCAATTGCAGCCGCAGCTACGTCACATCACATAGTTACCAAGGGTCCGCTCGACTCCGTCAAACCCCGAAGACTGATTCCGGACAAGCTCAAAACCGCCCGTACGGGATTAGATCACATGCTCGAATTTGGGATCGTTTGACTATCCAGCAGTCCTTGGTATTCGCCACTTCACATGGTCCCGACAAAGTCAAGAGACTGGCGACCATATGGCGATTACCGCGCCATCAGCAACGTGACAATTCCGGATCGTTATCTTATTCCTCACATACAGGACATTACAGCCAGTCTTCATGACGCTCGAGTGTTCTCAAAAATCGATCTGGTGCGAGCTCATCATCAGATCCCGGTCGCCGACGAGGACATACCGAAACCGCCGTTATTACAGCAATTAGGACTAGTCAGTTTCTACAAATGCCATTCGGTCTGTGCAACGCCGCGCAGACATTTCAACGCTTCATCGACTCCGTCATACGTGGACTCGACTTCTCTCCGCACATCGACGATATTCTGGTGGCCAGTTCTTCGGAAGAGGAACACCGAACACATCTACGACTCTTGTTTGAAGGGTTGAAGGCGCACAACGTCCCCGACAACCCTGACAACTGCATTTTCATGCAGCCGCTCATTGATTTCCTCGGACACCAACTTGATTCCGAGGGTATCCGCCCTTTGCAGGACAGAGTCCAGGCAATTCGCGACTTTCTTCATCCAACTCTAGCCGCCATTCGACGCTTCAACGGCATGGTCAACTACTATCGCGGATTCCTGCCACGTTGCGCCGAGCTTATGCAACCGCTCACCGATCTTCTGCGTGGACACAACAATGATAAAGTTGATCTTATGCCTGAAGCACGAACAGCATTCGAAGTAAGCATTCGAAGCACTTGCTTCTGCCGTCATACCTCATCACTTCGACTCGGACGCTCCAATCAGTGTAGCCGTCGACGCCTCGGAAAACGCAATCGGCGCTGTTCTACAGCAGTTTTCCCAAGGTAATTGGCAACCACTAGCGTTCTTCTCCCGACGTCTTCAGACAGCCGAGTCGAAATACAGCACATTTGGCCGCGAGTTACTCGCCGTATACTCCGCCGTTCGCCATTTTCGTCACGTTCTCGAAGGTAATCATTTTACGATCTTTACAGATCACAAACCACTCGTCTATGCCTTCCGGAACCCTTCGCCCCGACACTCTCCGCGTGAAGTTCGTCATCTAGATTTCGTGTCTCAGTTTTCGACGGACGTCCAACACGTGTCTGGCAAGGATAACGTCGTGGCGGACACGCTTTCAAGAGTAAACTCTCTGGCTCCGACCGATCAGTCGCTCGAGCTGTCAGCTATGTTTGATGCTCAGCAAGCTGAAAAGACCTACCGTCATCCTGCGAAAAGTCCACGTTAAATTTGGTACCTAGACCGCTTCCTTCGTCTACTGGTACAATAATTTGCGACGTCTCTAACGGACATCCACGTCCACTGGTACCAACTGCCTTTCGCCGAAAGGTCTTCGATACGCTGCACAACATCGCGCATCCTGGCATCCGCGCTTCCGTCAAGATGATTGCTGACAGATACGTCTGGCCCAACATGCAGCGCGACGTCAGACTTTGGGCACGCAACTGTCTGACTTGCCAGCGAGCGAAACTTTATCGTCATTTTGCCGCTCCGAAGGGAGGCTTTCCGTCAGTATCAGCCCGATTCGCTCACGTCCACCTCGACCTCGTTGGACCACTTCCGCCGTCCAAAGGCATGGTCTACATCCTGACCATGGTGGATCGCGCCACTCGTTGGCCTGAAGCTGTTCCAATTCCCGATGTATCCGCTGAGACCATAACGCGCGCATTCGTCGAGCGCTGGGTCTTCACATGGCTGTCCAGCCACTGTGACTACCGACCGTGGTCCACAATTCGAATCGTCGACATTCAACGACCTACTCAAAGTCCTCGGATGTAAACGCATCCGGACAACTGCCTACCATCCTCAAGCAAACGGAATGGTGGAGCGCTTCCACCGACAGCTTAAAGCCTCGCTAAGTGCCGCCAATGCACTTAGTTGGACAGAAGTTCTGCCAATGGTACTACTCGGAATTCGATCAGCACTGAAAGCCGAGCTCGAAACGTCCAGCGCCGAAATGATCTCAGCGGATACCTCGGGAATTGGAACAGCATCAGGCCAACGAGTGGCGCGATCCACCATGGTCAGAATGTAGACCATGCCTTGGACGGCGGAAGTGGTCCAACGATGTCTAGGTGGATGTGAGCTAATGGAGTTGATAGGGACGAGATGTGTCCTATCGGAGCGGCAACATGTCGATGAACTTTGCTCTCTGGCTAGTCATACAATTGCGTGCTCAAACTCTGACGTCGCTGTGTATGTTGGTCCAGAGGTAACTGTCAGCAATCATCTTGATCGAAGTGGGTAGGCCAGGATGCGCGATGTTGTGCAGCGTATCGAAGACTTTTCGGCGAAAGGCAGTTGGTACCAGTGGACGTGGATGTCCATTAGGGACGTCGCAGATTATTGTACCTGTAGACGAAGGAAGCGGTCTAGGTACCAACTTTAACGTGGACTCTTCGCAGGATGACATTAAGTCTTTTTCGGCTTGCTGAGCAGCGGCCATAGCTGACAGATCGAGCGACTGATCGGTCGGAGCCAGAGAGTTTACTCTTGAAAGCGTGTCCGCCACGACGTTATCCTTGCCAGACACGTGTTGGACGTCCGTCGAAAACTGAGACACGAAATCTAGATGACGAACTTCACGCGGAGAGTGTCGGGGCGAAGGGTTCCGGAAGGCATAGACGAGTGGTTTGTGATCTGTAAAGATCGTAAAATGATTACCTTCGAGAACGTGACGAAAATGGCGAACGGCGGAGTATACGGCGAGTAACTCGCGGCCAAATGTGCTGTATTTCGACTCGGCTGTCTGAAGACGTCGGGAGAAGAACGCTAGTGGTTGCCAATTACCTTGGGAAAACTGCTGTAGAACAGCGCCGATTGCGTTTTCCGAGGCGTCGACGGCTACACTGATTGGAGCGTTCGAGTCGAAGTGATGAAGCATGACGGCGGAAGCGAGTGCTTCTTTGCTAGCTTCGAATGCTTTTCGTGCTTCAGGCGTAAGATCAACTTTACCGTTGTTGCGTCCACGCAGAAGATCGGTGAGCGGTTGCATAAGCTCGGCGCAGCGTGGCAGGAATCGGCGATAGTAGTTGACCATGCCGTTGAAGCGTCGAATGGCGGCTAGAGTCGTTGGATGAGGAAAGTCGCGAATTGCCTGGACTCTGTCCTGCAAAGGGCGGATACCCTCGGAATCAAGTTGGTGTCCGAGGAAGTCAATGCGCGGCTGCATGAAAATGCACTTGTCGGGGTTGACGGTGACGTTGTGCGCCTTCAGCCGTTCGAACAAGAGTCGTAGATGTGTTCGGTGTTCCTCTTCCGAAGAACTGGCCAGCAGGATGTCGTCGATGTACGGTTGAACGAAGTCGTGGCCACGTACGACGGGATCGATGAATCGTTGAAACGTCTGCGCGGCGTTGCGCAGACCGAATGGCATTCGTAGAAACTCGAATGGTCCAAATGGTATAATAACGGTGGTTTTCGGTATGTCCTCGTCGGCGACCGGGATCTGATGATAACCTCGCCCCAGCTCGAGCTTTGAGAACACGCGAGCACCTTGAAGGCCAGCTGTAATATCCTGTATGTGAGGAATAGGCTGACGATCCAGAATTGTCACGTTGTTGAGGGCGCGGTAATCACCACATGGTCGCCAGTCTCCTGCCTTTTTAGGGACCATGTGAAGGAGCAAACGCCAAGGGCTGCTGGGTAGTCGGACGATTCTAAGTTCGAGCATGTGCTCTAATTCCGCACAGGTGGTTTTCAGCTTGACCTTAGCCAGTCTTCCAGCTTTGGCGGAGACGGGCGGACATTTGGTAACTATGTGATGCGGCGTAGTTGCGGCTGCAGTTGACAGAGGATGAAGGTCGGAAGGCTTCAGGGAAACTCTGAAGTCATGCTTTACCGGCCGGAGTGTTGGCAACGGCGAACACCTGACTGAGCCATGCTACGTTGCTGGATATTCCAGCGACGGAAAGTTTCGTTGTCTGCTCGATGGGACGAGGTCGGTTAGCAGCGACGAACAAGTCAAAGCGCTGAAGAAAATCCATCCCGATAATAGAATTTTGGACCTCAGCGTCATGAAATGCCCATCGAAAAGAGCGTCGCAGGTCGGGGTTTAGCGTGCGCGAGAGCTGACCGTAGACGCGGATGCTGGGTGCCGTTGACTACGCGTAGAGAACCAGTCACCTTTCCGGTTGCGTTGTTGGGATCACATAAAGGACGTTGACTTTTGCGCCAATGTCAACGTGATAGCGAACTTCCATTTATCGATCAGTGACGAAGAATAGGCGACTGGTTAATCAGCTACGTCCGTCGCCCCTACGTGCTAGTCGGCCCGTTTCCCCCGCGAGTTGCGTTTGAAGGAAAACGGTGGGTACAACTTGGCACGACTCGGCCTGTGGGCGAAATCGCTGATGGTACCAGCGGTAGGAAGACATTCGGCCCGGTGCGCACGCCGCGACCCTGTGACGCCCGCGTCGCGCTCGCCGCTCTCGCCGCGCCCGCTCGGCAGAGACACTCCCCACGTGAGTAGCCCGCCCGGACCGCGATCGGTTCAGCGATGATCGCCAGCGACGGCTCGCACCGCGACGTCGTGCCCCTCGAGCCCGTTGCCGCCGGCCCAGAGGGGTCTGAGCGCTCGCGATGACGCGAGGACCGCCCGCGCGCGGCGCGCACGGGGCAGCGTCGAGCGGGCCTGGACCTCGCAGCGACGCACGAAGATGCGAAGCGATTGCGCGACGGCGCCAATCGCTGACGCCGCTGGCGCCAGCGCGCGCTGATGACTCATGCCGCCGCCGCCCCTGCGAGCCGCGTGCCGCGCGCCAGCGCGCCCGCGATGGCCGCGCTCGAGCTCCGGTGGGCGAGCCAAGCGCGCCTGCCGGCTCGCGATGCGCGATGATGGGACTGCGCCCCGCGCCGAACTCGCCTCGACGCGTCGCGGGCCGCCGCCGCGCGCCGCGCGCGCCGCGACGAGTCGCGCCGCGCCGCCTCGCAGACGCGCAGCAGCTGAGCGCGACCATGCCCCGCGGTCGCGATGAACCGCTCGCGCTACGCGACAACCCCGCCGATGAGCGCCGCGCACGGAACCTGCGATTCCCGCCCGCGATTCGGCGCCCGGCGCGCAGCGCGCCCCGCCAGCCGCCCGCATTGCGCGTCCAGCCGGCAGCGCCGCAACGGACGCGGGCCGCGAGCGCAGCGCGACGCCGTCCGTGCGAGCGATGCAGCTCGCTCTGGCGCCGCGATCTGCACGGTCGCAGTGCGCCGCGATCAGCGCCCTCAGTGCAGCGCGCAGCGGCGCGAGCACGCTCGCGACCCCCTTACCGCCTGCGCGGGTCAAGCGTATGATGCCCGGCGCCAGCGGCGGCGCCGCACAGCGCCGCCTCGAGCGCGACGCGCGACTCGGCGCCGCTCAGCCGCGATGAAGCTCGGCGCGCCGCTATCCAGCGACGTGGCGGTCGCGGCTCCCGCGCTACTCCGCGATCCCGCAGCGCTCGCTCGCGCCCCAGCCGCCGCCGACAGCCGCGGATTCAGCGCCGCGCGGCTGCGGCGCGCCTGCGTCGCGATGCGCGGGCGCCGCCGCGACGCGATACCGAGCACGCACTGGGGCTCGCGCGCGGCGCCGCTCGCGAGCCGCGCGCCGCGCGATGCAGACCTTGTCGCGCACTAGCCACGCCACGGCGATTGCGCTTGCTGCGCGCGCGCTCGCGCGCGCGTCGACGAGAACGCTGGCCGCGGGCCTGCGATCGCCAACCGCCCGCGCGCTAACGCTCGGCGCGACCCCCGCCGCGATGCGCGTCCGCATCGCGCCGCGGCCGCGATCCGTCTCCCGCGCGGCCGCACGAGGGCAGGATGCGCCCGTACCAGCGATCGGCGCCGCGCGCACGCGCCGCTTCGCGTGGCCCCGCTACTTCGCCCGGCGGCCGCATACGCGGCGCCCGGCCCGCCGCCCCGGCCGCACCCGCACGCGCCGCGACCGCGCGCGCGATCGCCCGCTGCGCTCGCCGCAGTCACGCCGCCGCCGCGCGCCCGCGCGCGCCGCGCTCCGCGTTGTCGCACCGCGCCGCCGGATCGCCCTACGCGACGGCCGCCGCGCCCCGCACGGCCGAAGCGCGCACGGCGCAGGCGCATGCGTGCGTGTTCCCGCGGTAGCGATCGCCCCGCCGCGACCGCCGGTCCGCGCCGCCGTTCCCGCGCCCCGGCACTCGCCCGGCGCGCGCTCGCCCGCCGCCGCGATCGCGTAGACGGCCGGCGTTCCGCCCGGCGCACTGT